GCGATATACTTAAAATATTCTCCCTGAGTAAGTATTGTGTGCTTCTGATAGCTAATAGTCATGGTTTCAAAGCTACACATGGTAAACAGCAGTACTAGCTTAAAAGTGCTGCATGTAACTCTGGGAAAAGAGAGTTGATGAATGAGTCTCATTCCAAGGCTGTCAAACACAGACAATTTGGGTTGGACATTCAGTCAGACTATCAACCCAAAGCGTTGGTATTTGATGACATGGGAACAATCACCTATCTTTTTCCAGAGTTACATACAGCACCTTCTATAATAGTATTTAAAATATGTAAGGTTGGTCTCATTAGTTTTTGTTGTTAGATTATCATGCTAACCCCAAGGGGCTCAATGTGATGAGACTGCACACTTGAAATAAAAATTAATTAAAATTTGGATATCATTTTATCTAAATTGCCTCTGCAATCAGTGAAGTTCATTAAAAAAAATGGTAGTTTGATTTTCTATTTTACATAAATTTGGCTGTGCACATGAAGAAAATAGTGTCCAGAAGCAGTCTCACTGTGTGTATGTTCATATGTGTGTGTGTGTCCTTAATTATACATGCATGTGCACGTCCTTACAGTGTGCATACGTGCATTTTCTGCATCACTTACAACATGAGAATGTATGAATGTCACACGCCTGAGGGGTGAAGGCAACATTATGGAAACTGAGATGCCATAGACACATACACACACATACATCCTTGTAGTTCTGGTCTTATGAGGACTCTGCTGTGCTGCATTCAGTCTCTCTTTTACACTACAGCTGACCAGAATTACTTCACCTTCACTCCACAGAAATGCAATCACTCTGCAGGTCTGACACCCATATACAGATGTTTATACAGAAATTGTCCCTACAAATACATTTAAAGTGGCTTATTTTTCTATCCAACAGAACACAGGTTTAGCTAAGGCAAAGTATTACATGCAATCTATATTCTTGGAAGAAATGCTGAGTGTGCATGTGTGTTTGAGTGTGCATGTGTGTTTGAGAGTGTGTGTGTCGCAGGTTTAAAATCAATAATGCTGTCGGCCAGATGTTTACGCTGATGAAAATCAATGCCCTTTTTACAGCTTAGGTGCCAGCTGTGAGGATGTAGGCTAGAAAATGTGATGTGAGTGTATATGACTATCCAAAGTGTGAGGGTGTTGCAGATAAAGCAATGTGAGTGTGTGTTTGTGTGAGTGTATGTTTGTGTGTGTGCGTGCAGTTTGTTCATAAAGCTATTCTATAGGTTTCATATAATGCAAGCTAAGCCTTGTGTATGAACATAGATATCCAACAGTGAATTATGACATCAAATCTTCCAGAATAAGACAGGAAAATGCTGTGTGTTGCTTTTAAAGGGTTACTTCAGGATTTTTGAAGTGGGGCTGTATGAGGTACTTATCTATAGTCAGCATATTACCTTCAGTAGATGACGGCCAGTGCTCCCCCGCTTTGGAATAGCAGGCAGGAGTCCAACCAGGGAAGCTCAGCAATACATTGCTGTGGTTGGGGGTTGATATCAAATACCAAAAGTGATGATATCAGTCTAAGTGGACTCTATATTGAGGATTTTTTCACTGCTTTACTTTGCCGTCAGACAGCCCTTGTCTTTGGCACTACATTTTCTCAACTGTAAAACTTCGGTATTACTGCACCACTGCTGTTGCCCACTATATTACTCCACAGCTCAGCTGTTTGGGACAGGTAGTGTGCAAGGTCAGACATAAAAGAAACTTTACTTTTGGAAATACCAGTGTTTCAAACATGTTGCGTGCCTGTGTTTCGCCAGGCTGTTTAAACAAAGAAAAGACCTGCTCACATCATATATTTCACCGTCTCCCCTCTCTGTAATTCCAGCTTAATTTGCCTCTACAGATCACTAACACTAAGGCCCAATCCCAATACCCCCCTTTGTCCACTACCCCTTGGCCCTCGAAATGAAGCAACAAGGGGTAGGGGTTGAAATCTTTTCTAGGAATTGGGACACCACTCACTACGTCACCGCATCAGTTACGTTCACGCGTACGTAACTATTTCAAACAGGAAGCTGCGAGCCATCTACATTTTCAACCGGCATCTACAGTGGAGTCTCATTCATCCTACCAATTGCGTTTGCCACATTCATCATGCTTCGTTTGATGAACGACAGACGATAGGGGACTTCTGCTAGCTAGCTAACCAGCTAACATTACGAGGCAGCATAGTTATACTAGCTGGCGTGTTATCGTAATGTGCAAAGGTGTGTAATGTGTTGCAGAACAGGACAGATGACAGTAGCCAGATAGTGCGAGCTAGCTAGCTAACAAGCAACCTGACGACAATAACATTAGCTATGTATGAACTTTTTTCCCCCTCTCTTGCTCGGTGGAAGCCATGGCGACGTCTACCCCTCGCTGGCAAGTCAGCATCTGAAATCCCTTGCTCTGAAGGGCTAGTTTCATACCCACTACCCCTCGTTATGCCTCCTACCCCTACACGCAAAAAGGAATTGGGACACCCCTACCCCTCGTGGGAACGCGCAAATGTAGAGGTAGGGCCAAGGGGGGGGGTATTGGGATGGGCCCTAGTACAGTGATAGGGTAAACATAGCCCATGAATCTTTGGTTGTCTAATAATCAGTTATTGTACAATAACGTACTGAGAGCCAAAAATTACTTTGAAGACAACTTGTCATTAGGCCCTTCTGGTCTGGGACGTTTTTTCCAATTTATCTTCGGAGAACTAAAAATGATCCGAAAGACACCAGCATTCAGTAAGACAGGGTACTGTGGACGCTTGGTGATGCAGACTGTATCGGAAGCGCTGGCATCCTCTGATTCAGAAAGACCCATGGGTCATGGCAGCAGTAGCTCTCTGGCATCATTTAGAGTTCACACATCTGCACCACCAGGTAACTTGTGCTCTTTCTTAGCCTCCAGTTTCCACAGAATTCGCTCCCCTCTCAGTCCTTTCAGTCTCCCTCTGCAAAAGTTTTTCTCCTCTATACTCTGGTTCATAAGGAAATCCTCTTGTCTCCACAGTGAACGGCATTTCGTCTTCACTGTCATAATCACTCATTTTGACTTGTTTTTGTCGTCTCTTCCGTAAACCACTGACAGTCTGACAAGGAAGTTTAACAGTTAAGAAAATGTAGCACCAAAGAAAAGGGCTGTCTGACAGTGATGAAAAAATTCTCAATATAGCATCCACTTAGACTGATACTGATTTTTAGGGGGGCATCTGTTAAGGTGCCTTAAATATGTTTTGATATCAACCCCCACCCACAGCAATATAATGCTGAGCTTCCCTGGTGGGGCTCCTGCTTGCTATTCCAAACTAGAGGTGCACCAACTGCCATCTACTGAAGGCTATACATAAGTACTTCAGATGACCCCACTTCAAAAATCCTGAGCTAGCCCTTTAAGGACAGTAATTTGGATGAAATATTGTGACAATCTGGAAAGGATACTGCATTTTACAAATGCTTCTTTAGTCATTTCTTAATAAAGATGCCTATGCATTGTAGTCCATGACTACAGAATGGTCGTGTGTTTGTGTGGGTGAGAATTTGTCTTTAAGAATGAGACAATGGGTTCGATCTTTATGTGGTTACATGGTGGGGATAGCAATGGATTTAAAGGAGATGACAGGAGCAAATGTGATTGGCTACATTTCAATAGACCCTAGCCAACCTGCACATGATTCATAGAAATAGAATACCTAATAGCAACCCCTTTGTAAACTGAAGGTGCAACAAGTGCTTTCAACCATGAAAAGACTGTAAGAGTGCCATGGCGCCTTCTGCACACTGTGCATGACGCACGTGACTGAGCTTCGTCATCCATTTGCTTTGGCGTGACATTTCAAATGCCACTCCATCTATGTAAACACAGGACAACCTGATGTATAGGACACATCTTGAAAGATAAACTTTTGAAATACATCACTGGTTTTCCCTTTTGTAAAACACAACTGGCCCAACTGTTTGCACAGTGACTTGCTGTTCTCCATTTCCAGCTCATCAAGCAATGGGAGACAAAACAGATCACATTTGAGCTCTACTTTTTGGCAGCTGTGATGTAAATTTAAAAATATTATTGGCTGCACTTCGGACCAGATTTTAAATGAGCCCTAAAATTTGTGATGACCCAGATAACGGACTAGAAAGCAGACAGGAAACTTGCACACATACCTTTTATTGGCTAAAAGCCACATTTCAAGGTTAGACGTCTTTTCAAGTCTTTCTTTTCAGATCTGAACTGAGGATTGATCTTCACCCCAGGGTCTAAGAGAAAATATCTGCCCAACAATTTGTGCAATGCAGTTACTATTGAAACGTGACTGCATTTCTAGAAATGTTATCACATGGGACCTTCACCTTTAGAGTTAAATCTTCTCTCTTTTTCTCTGGTTCTCACCTCCACTATCACAATATTCTTGTTTCTATTTATTATATTTTTTCCTCTGTTCACCTCTGCTGTTCCCATCTCCTTTTAAATCATCACTTTTTTTTTCCCAATAGAAGAGTTTTCAGGGTCTTCATTTTATTCAGTGCTTTATGCACTTTAAAAGACTTCTGACTTTGTAAATCCTTTCTAAAACTGAGTTCAAATCATTGTAAAAACTGAGAAAACTATTGAAAGACATTCTAAAACAAATGACAAGTTGAGTGGAGAGTACAATACAAGCTCTGCAGATCATAGTATTTGTGTTGGGTATTAATCAAAGAGAGGACAAACTCCAAACAAATAGCTCTACTGAGAACACTGGATAAACTAATGATTATTAGACCTTCTGCAAACTTTATGTTTTCGTCATGACAGGAAATGCACATAACAGCAGCAGACTCAAAGCTTTAAATGTAGACTATTTATTTAAAGGTTTGTCAGACTTTTACCCGCAGTGAGTAAAACTGAAGTTGAGCTCAAATGAAGCTCAATATGACTGTTCCGCTTTTTTCTTCTCAGTACTGTCTTGTCTCCTTCCATGCCACATCTCCACCACCCACCACAAGCTTACCTGCAGCGCACTGCTCCTCATCTGCCCCGTTCTCACAGTCCCTCTCTCCGTCGCATCGCCATGACAACGAAACGCATTTGCTGGCAGCCCCTCCGCAATCAAACTTCTCTGGTGGACAGGTCTGTCGGCCTGTTGTGAGGGGGCGGAGGTGAAAAACAGCAAAGGAAGAGAGAGTACAGAGGGGGTAGGCAGAGAAGGAGAGAAAATGGATAGTAGATGAGAAAGTTGTGGGGAATGGATGTAAGAGAAGGGGAGCAAAGAGGGATAGTGGGGCAAGACAGGGGGAGTAAAATGAGAGAAGAAGTAGGGAGGAGGCAAAAGATAGAGAGAGAAGGGACAGCCAGTCAATGAAACAGTTTGATAACTTAGTTATCTTGTTGCTCCAATCGATTCGCCCTCAAAGGCCTGCAATTAAACTAGACACACAGTGACAGAGGAACAAAGAAGCGGCAGCACTGTCAGAGAGACACAAAGCCAGGACAACACACAAACACACACATGCACACACACACACAGTTCACAAACCAAAAAAGACATGAAACACAGACAGGAAAATACACTCAAGTCAAAACATGAAACACATGAACATTTTATATGTACTTGCAGCCCTGCACATACTAGGGATGATTATTTTAGTTACACATGAATCTACTAATTATTATTACGATAACTTAGAGCCCAAACCCAAAAGGTTTTTGGATATAAAACTGGGGAAATCAAAGAGATGCACTGATTTCAATTTTCTTGGCTGATTCCAATTTTTTAAGTCTGATCTGCTGATTCCAATTTCAGCGGATTCCAATATTTTTCCTTATCAAAAACTATGATCAAGAGCATATATAAACATATTTGGAACTTTTCTTTAAAGCCACTGAAAACTTAGCTTTAAATAGCAAAAATGCATATATGATTTTAAAGATGAGTGTATCAATAAGCATCTACAAAAATCTGAGTGAAAATAAACATTCACTATCAGAAAATGGTTCATTTGACTAACATTAAAGCTAATTATAGTGACTGGCAAACTAGGTTAGACCACCCAACGTTTTATTGAACTATACCTCTCTGAATATGTTGCTAATTGTTTAAGTATTTCCATTTCTTTACCTGAAACTGTTAGCATTAGCTTTTTTATGTGAAACGTTTAAGCTTTTTTCAACTATCTGAGTAGTATGCAAGTCATCTTGACTAATGGACTAACTAGCAAACTAGGAATGAGCACAGGTATTTGTGCTTTTATTGAGTTATACCCTCTAGACTAAGAAGCTAAGTATTTTAGCATCTCCCATCCACTTAATTGAAACGATTAGCATTAGCTTTGCAATGCTGCACTTTTGAGCTACAGGTGACATTGACTTTTGTTTGTTCTGTTGGTTGAGTTGCGGTTGAGAAAATGTAGCACCACAGAAAAGGGCAGTCTGATGGCAAGGTAAAAGCTTGAAAAAAAATCCTCAATATAGTGTCCACTTTGACTGATATTGACCTTTTTAAGTGGGCCTCTTTTAAGGTGACTAAAATACATCTTGATGTCAACCCCTGTAAGCAGCAATGTATTGCTGAGTTTCCCTTATGAGACCCTGCCTGTTATTCCAAACTGGGGCGTGCCAACCGCCATCTACTCTATGTTATACACTCGCTACAGATAAGTACCTAATACAACCCCACTTCAAAAATTCCTAACTAACCGTTTAACAACGCAGCTTTCAAACCATGTGCACCATGTATGGGGATATACTGCAAATTTTGAGAGCTGGTTGCAGCACCTTTACAAGAGTTACTCTCCGTGGTACAGTTTACAACGTGACCATCATGCAGCGCTTATATGTAAATTTGACTGGTAGAGGATCAGCTTTATCTGAGACTAAACACTCTGTCACAGGTCATGGTCGATCAAGCTGAAAACTGGCTGATTCCAGTCACCAGTCAGTCAATTGGTGCATCTCTTCAAAATCAGCAAATGCTCACATCTTAAAAGTTGGGAAAGTGAATGTTTAGCATTTTTGCTTGATTAATGGCTTAAACTATACAACAATTGTAAAACATAAATCTGTTTGAATACAGACTGCATTTTCTATGTGTTTCCTTTCATATGTAAAACCTAATTTAAAAAAAAAAAAGATTTTTAATATAAAATTGTGTTCATAATGTGAATGAACTGACAAAGCACTCATCACTGTTTGTCAAATACTACCAGACCCAGACCCAGACACAGACACACGCACACACACCTCATGTGTGAGTGAGGAAGTGGTCCTTCTTGGTAAAAGCCCATTACAGTAGAGAAGGCCATTGTTCCTACATGTGTAGCCCATGGGGTTGGTACAGGGAGGAAAAATACAGCCGTCCAATACATCAAATTTACACTGAGTCCCCACAGCAAATCCCCGTCCCTTCTTCTTACAAACCACTACACTCCCTCACCCTTCCCCTTGCCTCCCTCCTCAATCGCTCTCACACATACACATACACATACACATACACATACACACACTCTAACACCACAGGGACTCTGGCCCCAGATTACATTACAGCACTGTGTCAAACTCAACTCTATCAATTATACATATTTGACCACCAGCATGCTTCTTGGCAACAAGCCTGAGTGTGTGTGTGTTTACATGTGCGTGTGTTGCAGCCACAGATCAATAGTACCTATGGGATTTGCCTGTTTTGGTCTCATTCTGTATTTATTCATCTCGTATTTCTTTCTTCTTATTTTCATCTTTAACAGCACTGAATAAATTGCTGCCATTCAAACGCTGCCCCTCATGGAGAGACACTTGGGGTTTTCAGCCTTGCCAGTAGTGATTGCCAGGATTTTCTCAAACTGTGCAGTCTATGCTGCCAGGTTCTACACTATTGAAAAGTGTCTGCTTGTATTCTATTTGTCTACAGAACTGGACAGGTTTGGGGTTTGGATTCCTCTCCTCTCCTGTCTTTTGCTGGTGTTGATCTTTTGGATGACCTCTTCTGGCCTTTAAAAAATAAAAGCCTCCTGCAAATCCCCTGAAAGAAAGTGAACGAGCCAGCACCGTGCGTGTGTGTGTACTTGTTTCTTTGATGCACAAAATGCAGCTGTTCAGGTCAATGCGATGCTGCGAATATGAATATCAATGGGAAGTGTGTGTAGGTGGGTAAATGTGAGGACGGAGGCCAGTGAACTGTCTGACATCTGGCTTGGTTCAGTGTGTGTTGGTGTGTGTTTTAGAGGGGAACTGCCCATTGGTCCGACAGCCCATTGGTTCGACATCCCATTGTTCTGACCATATTAAACCCATTGTTCCGAAGTCCGTTCCGAAATCATCATGATGCCCTGTGGTTAAGGTCTGGTTAGGTTTAGGCACAAAAACCACTTGGTTAGGGTCAGGAAATGATCATGGTGTGGGTTAAAATGAAAACGAAAGTGACAAACACATAAGCCGTGAGCCTGCTCCGCCTCAAGCCGGTCGCGGCGCACCATACCCCCGCCGTGAGCCGTTCAACACCGCGGACAGTCGGACTAATGGGATGTCGAACCAATGGGCTGTCGAACCAATGACATGGACCCTTTTAGAGATACTATATACTTCAGACAATACACGTTTCACATTATTTAGCTACTTTAAGTGTGTGTGTGTGTGTGTGGGTCACCAGAGTCCAAGGGCTACTGTCAGATACTCACTGTAATACAAACCCACACAGAAATACACACCCCCAGGGGCTCAGTCTACTAAGTGTGTGATTGACAGCTGGGTTAAAAGGATGTAATTTGTCTGACTGACCATTTTGGGCCCTGGTAGTCAGGAGAGGCGGAGTCATGGATCAGCTGCCAATTAAATCGCTGAATACAGACGAGCAAAAACAACAGAGAACTCCACTAACATTGATTATGACAAAATCAATTAGATGATTTTCATCCCATGGGTAATAATGCTCACAAAAGGAAAAGGACAGTTCCAATTTCCCATTATTATGTGTTTAAGCAATAATTTGTGACTATTAAAATGTCGGCTCAGCCTCTGTCAATTGGCCTTTGATATTATACAATAGCAGTTCAACTCATACATTCATAAAGTCTATAAAAAGCTTTTTCTATTTGCTGCCTCAGTCAGCCACAGTATTGCAGGCCATTCACAGAGAAAATTGGTATGTGCAAACTAAGAGATGTGTTTCACATTGCCTGCAGAAAAAAACAGAGCAGTTTGCTTGGAACAAACAGAAGTGGTAGTACATGAAGGTAATTAGCATTATCAACAGCAGCCACCGAGTCTGCACAGACAAAGGAAAAACATGCCAACTAAAGAGAGACAATCTGGTATGTCTACATCACAACTGATCTAAAAAAAAAAAAGATTAGAAAAATCACATTTTAACACCACTGTAATACAAATGTAGCACCAGAACAATCAAAACAAATAAAGGGAAGAACTGTCTCAAGCTTTGTTTAATCAAGGTTGTTGCCGTCTGACTTTGCCAATCCAGATGATTATTGTGCTGATAATGAAGTTACATTCACAGTACTTTCTCCAGACTTTTGGAAGTCAGTGCTTAGCACAGATTTGCTCTCTGTTTGTTCCTCTCTCACTAAACGCTGACAGGTGTATCCAGCAGCAGTGCGCTGAGGAGCATTGATGGACTTATCGACAGTAAGCTGGGGACACATCTGTGCCTGCAGAGGTATTGCAGACTATGATCATATTCCAGGCCAAGTATAGTATTGACTGCTACTATCGCTGCAGAAAGCTATGGAAGGTTGCATCTTTACACAGGGTGTCTAAGGACATTGGACTCCTAAATGTTATGCTTTTAAAGACATTTTCATGATTATTTTCAACCAAATGTAACCCTGATTTTCAGGCAAGTGTTTTCTACTTTCTGATTTCAGCATTGCAGAGCGCCTCACAGCAAGAAGGTTCCTGGTTCGATCCTAGGGTGGGGGGTTTCAACCCGGAATGGGGGAGCCCTTCTGTGCAGATTTTGCATGTTCTCCCCATGTCAGCGTGGGTTTTCTCCGAGTACTCTGGCTTCCTCCCACAGTCCAAAGACATGCAGGTCAATTGATGACTCTATGGGCCAGTCCCAATACCCCCCCCTTAGCCCTACCCCTTGGCCCTACACCTACATTTGCACGTTCCCGCGAGGGGTAGGGG